CTTGGGAATAGGCCTTGTCCAGGGCTTTTAATGTATCGTCACCACCCAATACTTTGTGTATCTGTGAGAGCCGCCTCACAGCCCTTCTGGAGCCAAGCAGAGGGGAGCCAAAGACATGCCCCAAATAAGCGCAGATCCCGGACTTAACTCAGTCCCCTGAGGTGGAGCCACCATTGTCCAGCCTCGCACAGCATAGTCCCTGTTTACTCCTGTTGTCCCAGCGGAATTATTGATGGGACCTCATGTTAGATTCAAAGGAGCAACTTTGCACAAAATCCTCCACCATGGGGTGAAGATTCAGTGGGCAAGCTTGCCTCGCTCCCTGGGTTGCCGCCCCACCCAGTGTTACTTTCTCCACTGAGCTGTTCTGAAGGCTCCAGAGAGGGCTGAGGAAAGTCCCTCTGTGTACCAACGATCCATCTCAGGTCCTTGGGAGCCCTTTGTCCCTCTGGGAGCATTTTTGAGATCCGGTCTCTTGGGCCCCAGCCATGCCCGCTGTCCCCTCCCACCCCCAGATCCGGCATCTGCAGCGGGAAGCCCTGCTCAGGCGGGCGGCCCAGGCGGCCCAGAAGAAGAGTCGGCAGCAGCAGTTCCCGGCGGAGCACGTGCAGCTCCTCTGTGTCAACTGCATGGTGGCCGTGGGCCACGGGAGCGACCTGCGGAAAGTGGAGGGCACCCACCACGTCAACGTGAACCCCAACTTCTCGTGAGACCTGTGGAAGGGGCTGTCTGGATGAGAGGAAGAGTGGGGTGCATTAAGAGTTTGGGAGGTTAAAGAGCATTTGAACAGGTACCAAGTTTGCAGGTTTTATCACCACCCCATTTCACAGGTGAGAAAATAGAGGCTCCGAGAGCCTCAGCGACTTGCCCAAGCTCCCACAGCCACTATGTGGTTGAGCAAGAGGCTGGCATTCAGGACGCCAAATGCTGAGGGGCCACACAGTGGCCCCCTGGTCCTACGTACTCTGAAGACATCCAGAGGGGCTGGTGGTCCCTGAGCCATCCCCTCATCCTCTGCCCCCTAGCGGGTAGCCTTCCCCCATCCTCCATTTGTTCATTCGTTAAGGAAGTATTCATTAGGCGCCTACTGTGTGCCAGGCCACTGTGCCCATGGTCTTCACACATGGGTGGTGCTGAGGCCTGAACTTGGGCAGAGGGAGTGGGATGGAGGCAGCACAGGCTGAGCGTGTCGAAGTCTCTGTGCCTCTTGACAGGCAGGCAGCCCAGGGTAGCCTTCCCCCATCCTCCATTTGTTCATTCGTTAAGGAAGTATTCATTAGGCGCCTACTGTGTGCCAGGCCACTGTGCCCATGGTCTTCACACATGGGTGGTGCTGAGGCCTGAACTTGGGCAGAGGGAGTGGGATGGAGGCAGCACAGGCTGAGCGTGTCGAAGTCTCTGTGCCTCTTGACAGGCAGGCAGCCCACGGCCCGGCACAACATGAGGTCTGTGGCCACTCCCATTTCTTCCTAGGATCTACTACAATGTCTCTGAGAAGCCTGTGGCTATCGACAGAGTCTTCAAGGACTGGGTGCCCGGGGGTGTCATTAGCTGCAAGAACTGTGGGGAAGTAAGTGCTGGGCCATGGCCCTCAGCCCCGTCTTTAGAAGCCCTAATTCTGAAAGCCCAGCCTCTGCCACCAGGGTGCCCTCCCTGGGGTGGGGGAGACAGCCCTGCCCAAGGAGCCCCCAGTCTGAAGAGAGTGGTCCAGCCCCTTCTCAGGGAGCCCACAGCGTGATGAGGGCGATAGCGCTGTCTGAGGGAGGAGACATAAGCCCCGCATCCAGAGACTCTAACTTGGGGAGAGAAGCCAGGTCAGAGGATAGACAGATCAATGTTTGTTGTTGTTGTTAATCCTCACTGGAGGATATCAATGACTCTTTTTTTAGAGAAAGTGGAAGGAAGGGGGAGAGAGAGAGAGAGAGGGAGGGAGAGAGAGAGAGAAAGAGAGAGAGAGAGAGAGAGGCACAGTGATGTGAGAGACACATCGATTGGTTGCTTCCCACATGCCCCAACTGAGGCCAGGGATGGTGCCTGCAACTGAGGCCCCGTCTCTGTCCCACCCCCAGCTCTGGGGGCTGCAGATGATCTACAAGTCGGTGAAGCTGCCAGCGCTCAAAGTCCGCGCCATGCTGCTGCAGACACCGCGGGGACGGATCCAGGCCAAGAAGTGGTCCTCCGTGCCCTTCCTGGTGCCTGACTTCGACTACGTGCTGCACTGTGCCCAGGCCCTGTCAGAACTCTCCGTGGACTGAGCATCTTGTCGCTGCAGTACCCAGATCAAGCTGTAGGGGGCAGGAGAATCCGCAGCAGCCAGCATCTTTCCTGAGCAAAGTCGGTGCAGGTCCCTCCTTGCAGGAGCCACCAGCTCTGGGGCCTGCTGACCAGCCACCGAGGAACCCCAGGTGCCCAGACTGACTTCAACTCCCACATCGAGGAAGCAGCTGAAGGGCCACAGCTCATCCACCGGCCCCCCTTACACCCACACAGACACGTCTACACACTAGATGGAGTGGGAGTGGCGTGGGGGTAGAACTGAGGCAGAATGGGCACACTGGACAGCGGTGCCCCCTTATCCATGCTTTCGCTTTTGTAGTCTGTTACTCCCAATTAACTGCGGTCCACATATTAAATGGAAAATTCCAGAAATAAACGTTTTATAGGTTTTAAATTGTGCACCATTCTGAGTAACGTGATAAAATTTCATGCCATCCTGCTTGGTCCCACCTGGGACATGAATCATCCCTTTGTCTGGTGCATCCATGCAGTCTATGCTATCGGCCTGGTGGTCACTTAGCCATCTGGGTCGTCAGGTCATCTGCCCAGGTTTCACAGTGCTTGTGTTTGCATAACCCTTATAGTAGCCCAACACTACGTGACAATGCCAACGTCATTAACCTCAGTTAATCTCATCACACAGGCCTTGAATCATCTCGTATCATAGAAGGTGAGTACTATACAATAAGATAGCTTGAGAGAGACTACATTTACATAATGTAGTATAGCATATGTTATAATTGTTCTATTATTAGTTGTTAATCTCTTACTGTGCCTAATTTGTAAATTAAACTTTATCATAGGTGTGTATGTATAGGACAAAACATAGTATATGTAGGGTTTGGTACTATCTATGGCTTCAGGCATCTACTGGGAATCTTGGAACAAATCCTCCATGAATTAAGGGAACTACATACTAGGAATCACCGAAGTTTCCCCTGGCCTTTGACATTCTTTTTTTTTTTTTTTTTTTTTGAGGCTCCCCATAAATTAAAAATAAATAGAAAAATGGTGTAGAAAATGTGTAGTATTTTTAAAAATATATTTTTATTGATTTCAGAGAGGAAGGGAGGGAGAGTGAGAGAGAGAGAGAGACATCAATGATGAGAAAGAATCATTGATTGGCTGCCTCCTGCACACCACACTGGGGATCGAGCCCGCAATCCAGGCCTGTGCCCTGACCAGGAATCAAACCATGACCTCCTGGTTCATAGGTTGATGCTCAACCACTGAGCCACGCCAGCTGGGTGAAACTGCAGTATTTTAAACACAGATTTGTGGAGGCATAATTGACAAAATAAACTACATATTTATAGTGTTTAATTTGATAAATTGTAATGTATGTATGCTCTTCCACAATCAAGATAATGAACATAGCCATCACCCTGAAAACTTTCCTCGGGCCCATTATAATCCCTCCCTCTTTCATTCCCCATCCACAATCTGCTTTGTGGTATATTTTGAAGGTTAAAGGTGTTTTTTTTTAAACACCCCTCTTTTTGGTTATCTTGTAACCTTATTTGGAGAGAGCATCAGGAGTCTAAATTTGAGCGTCATCAAAATAGTGAGGCCTTCCTGCCCCCGCCCCCTCATGAAAGCTTCTAACCCCAATGCCCCATCTCCCCCGAACCCCCAGGTCATCTCCCCCTGCGCTTGGCAGAGGCCCAAAGGTTTTGAGGGGTAGGCATGGGAGTGGGGAAAGTTATAAAGGCCTAAATTTTCTGTTCTCATTTTAACAAGAAGGAAAGAAAGGCAAGATCTAGGTTGATTCTTCAGGGAAAGGGCTATTTCTGTAGGAAGAGGCCCAGCAGGCAGGAGTCACCTTCAAGAGGAAGGGAGGGGGCTAGGGCAGAGATTTGAGATTTGAGAGCAGCATGGCAGTCCTTCCTGCCATCTAACCTCTCCTACTACATCCTTGGTCCTGCCTCAGGGTAGATGAAAAAAAAAAACCTCTCCCTTCTCCAGTATCTTCTTTCTTCAGCCCCCCTCTTCTCTGGCTGAGAGCTAAGAGCCCAGTTCTAGGCTTTTTGGTTTCCATCCCGCTAAGAGAGTGCACCCTCCCTTCCCAGGGCCCTTCCTCCGGGTTCTGGCTCCCAGAGTCACCCTTCTCCCTCCTGTCCCATCTCCACCTCCCTGGGTCCCTTCGGCCCATCCGCTCCCACTTCACCTTCAGTTGTCATCGCCCCTGCCAGCAACATGCCTTTTACAGGTCAATAAAATTAGCGACAGAGGGGCAGAGGGAGGGGGCGGAGCCCAGGGGTGCTAAGCTCCACGGCCTTGAATGCAGCTGGACGCACGGAGTACGGGCGCCTGTCATTCCAGGGCTAAACAGTGACAGCTGAGGGACCTGAGCTGGCACTGGAGGGGGGGTGGGGGGGGCTGTCGCAGGGAGAGATGGACCGAGGATACAGATGCCCAGGGCACCTAGTGGTTCCCTCAGTGGCCTGAGCCCCTGGATGGGGGACCCTGACTTGGAGGGAGCGTCAAGATCTCTCCCACCTTACCACTGGGACCGCTTTCCGAGCTCGGTTGGAAGGGGGAACTCGGGCTAGGAGGGGTTCCCGGCCTTTCTTCTTCGTGTGAGGGGTCTTCCTAGGGAGCCACAGCCTCCGGGGCAAGGCCGCCCGAGGGGGGCATTTCCTGGGGTCCCCAGGACGCAGGCATGCTAACTCCTCAGCCCCCAGAAGAGATGCACTGTAGTCATGACACATCATTAATCCTCTCCGCCCCGCAGGTAAGTCAGCGCCGCGGGCTGAGGACCTCGAGGCCAGCGCGGGAGAACAGGGCAGCCCCGGACACGTGTCCGGTGCCCTCGTCTCCAAACCGGGGGACCCCAAGGGGCAGTGAGGACATCCCCATGGGCTCTGGGCGCCGGCGCGCTGCACCTAGCGGGTGGGGCTAAACTCGGGGGAAGTTTAGGGGCTCCTGGCTGCTCATCCCTGATGCCAGGGCCGCCTCCGATGGACGGGAAAAGGCAGAGCTGGGCTTTGGGCACAGTTTCCTGGAGGAGAGCAGGTTGGGGTTCGTGACTGCGGGGCTCCGGGTAAGGAACCTCTGCCTAGCGGGCCCCATGCCTCACCCCTTCGCAGCATCCTATCGCCCCCACTTAGCGATGGGGGTGACCCAATTGGCTTCTGTTCTATGTGCGAATGAGGTAAGAGCCGAGGCACATAGAACATAGCACAGCTGAGCTGGGTTTTCTGACGAGCTCCAGGGCACCTGCGCCACCTCTTTACTCCTGGGTACAGACATGCGCGGGTAAGGGGTGAGGGGTGAGGGGGTGAAGGGGGGTGTGGGAGCAGGGGTCGTCCGGATGGCCTGGGGGACCTAGGGGCCTGGGGGCTGATTCGATGTTTTCTGTGTCCGTGTCTCAGAGCCAGGGTGGGGAGGTGATCGCAGAACGGGCCCTTCCTGCAGACACGGGATGCATTGGCACCCTTGGTGGGATTTGGGCTGTAGGCGAGGGATCCTGCCTCTCAGAACCTCACGGAAGGCTTCCTAGAAGAGGCGGTCCTGAGCTGACAGCTCAGATGGGATGCTCGGAGCCACAAAGGAGAGTTGGACTTTGGGCCTTGGTGCTGGGTTGGGGTAGAGCAGAGGCAGGTCAGGATACTGCCATGGATCCAGCCAGGGCCTCGGTGACCGTCACAAACCTACAGGCAGACCAACATCCCAGCTTAAGTGGGCGGGCTTCCAGTGTCTAATCTCCCTGTTCCACTGTCGCCTCCCACCACACACAGTCACTGTCAGAAAGTTCTTCCTTATATCTGACCTTCATCCCTTCTTCCAGCTTCTTGCTTCTGGGCGGCGATGTGCTACAGTGGAAACAGTGGGGGCCTGGGGGTCAGTTAGACTGGAAGGAGTGCTGTCACCTCTACCTGCTGTGTGACCTCGTGCAGGTTATTCACCCTCTATGAGTTTGCTTCCCCACCTGTAAAATGGGGATAATAATAGAACCCACCTCATAGGGTGGCTGCAAGGATTAAGTGAGAATATGCCCGTAGGGCGCTTAGCACAGTGCCTGGCGCCTGGTGAGGGCTCAGCCAGTGTGAGTGTCCCCTCGTGTGTAGGACAGCAAAGCCGATCTGCAGGGGGTGGGGGTAGAAAGTTTTTTTTAAACTTGGCCAGTAAGAGCCATGCCCTTCATCACCACTATTCCACCAGCCCTCGCCCCTGCTGGCTCCTGGGTCTCTTCTGGACCCGTCTGGGCTGCCCGGGACCCCTCACCTCCTCATCTCGTAGTTGCCCTGTTTTTGTCTCCAGAGTAAGGAGAGGGACCCCAGCAGGGCAGGGGCCAGTGGCAGCAGGAGCCCACTTAGGAACACACTGGCTGACACCCAACTGAAAAAATGCCCTCTTGTCATCACTCCCTGCCGTCCCCACCTCCAGAAATCCACAAGTGGGGATCAAGCTGCTCTTTTTCCAAGAAAATAAACAATAGAAGTTACTGAAAGCTCTGCTTGGGGATCATCCCAGCAGCCCTCCAGTGGAAGGACAGCTTCAGTCCCTGGCCAGAGGTCCGGAGGCTGCTAGGGAAGGGTGGATCTAGTGAGCACCGTTAACCCTAGGCAAGGGAGAGGTGCCTGTGCCCTAACTGGACACTGCCCTGGCCACTGCCCTCCCTGTGGGGTGAGGAATCAGCAGGGCCAAGGGGAAGAACCTGTTCGCTACCTTCAAGACCACAGTCCCCATACCTGTGACTCTGGAGGCCCCTGCCTAGACGGTCCGCTTGCTCCCAGCCCATCTAGGCTCTGCCCTGGGCCTGTTCTCAGGGCAGGTGTGCACCGCAGACCGGAGGGACCCCTGGGGACAGCCGAGGGACAGCTGTGTGCAGGGCATGAAGATGGAGCTAGGCTGTGGAGCTGGGTGTCCACATACGTGCATGTGGGTCCCGTAGGGCAGAAAGGAGCCGGCAGTAGGAAGGGAGCGATGGCCGGGGCCAGCGTGGGAGGCAGCTGTCTCTCCCTCCACGGCACTGTCCTCCTGCAGAACTCCCGGAGTCAGCAGATCCGAAAGGGAACCTGGTTTTCCATGTCGTTATGAAAACATATTTGAATGAACAGTGTGTTTGCTTGGCTTATAACGTTTAAATAGTTAGACATGTGTGTGGGGGCCCCCAACAGGTCCCCTTGCCCCACGGCCTGCAAATATTAGGGGTGGGCCTGCAGCGCCTGTGACCGACGGCGCTGCTCTTTGGTGAATCCCCTTCCTGCTGGCTGTCCCCCGACATAGCCGTGCTCCTGTAAAGCTGGGCTGAGGAGACACCTTCCCTGGGCCAGGAGTGAGTTTCAAGGTGAAATGAAGACTGTCAGCTGCCACCAACAAGCGGTCCCCCCGTGGGCCTCCTGACCTCATTCTCCACCCAAAATTGGGACAATTTATTTCCTAATGTCCTGTGATGCTTCAGAGGGAAAAGCGAGCAGGAGAGGGGCTGCTTATCTCCTGAGTGTGGGGAGGGTGTGGGCGCTCGCTGGACCAGGGAGCAAGGAGGGAGCTAAATGAGGCCACAGCGACAGGAGGAATGGGAGTTAGACTCAGGGGAGATCAGGGCCGGGCCCACCATCCCTCCAGCTGCCCTCAGAGGGGGCTGGGCCTGTGGCCAGGGAGGGGGCCGTGTGTCTGTCATGTGGGTCCTCCTGATAGTTTGCCTCTTGGGCTTCAGTGGGAAGGAAGGTGGGGGCAAGCTGGCCAGGCGGTGGGACTCATTCCTGGAGGAAATGAAGGGCATGTTGGTCTTGGACGGTCGCTGAGTGCCCGGGGGCAGCTGGACACGCCGTCTGTTCAGAAGAGAGAGACGTGCGTGCGGCCTTTGCATGGCCATCTCTGACTCACTCCCTCCTTTCCAACTGGGCTGTTTGGGGACCATACCTGCCACCTGGGCCTCATGAGGGCTGTGAAGTGCTTACTGGACACACACACACCTAAACGTGCACACACACGACACTCACACTCAGACACACACGCAGGTTTGCATGCCACCGACACTCGCAGATGTTGTTGCCTCCAGTCGTCCATCCAGAACACCGCTTCAAGGGCAACCTGGGAATGGAACCGCCGCCGACCCAGCCTGCACCTGCGCTATGCAGACTCCTGAGCCTTCGCCACCGTCGCAGGCTCAAGCTCCCCCCTGGGTGACTTTTCATTTACCTTGGGTGACCCGCCAGCTCCAGTGGTCGGGAGCCAGGTGCCCGCAGGGGTTCGGTGTTGGGGACAGAAGGGACTCCCTGCCAACCCCACCCAGGCCCCACGTTTGGCACTTCTGCTCCCCCAAGTCTCGCAGAGGGTGTCTGAGGGGCTGAGCCTCTCCCAGCCCCTCTGTCCCCGGGCAGCTCCGTGAGCCGCTCTGCCCCAGCCTGTGTGCCTGTCCCCGCCTCCGCTGTGCCCCGGGCTCAGTCCTTCCCCGGCTCCTGTGCCTGTCATTCTGTTTGTCTCTCCTCTCTCCCGGTCTCGGAGTCTCTGTTTTTCTGTCTGTCTTTCTCTTCCTTTTTCTCTGTATGTGTGTCTCTGTCTGCCTGTCTCTGATTTTCTGTGTGTGTTTCTGCACTTCTGTCAGACACACACACACACACACACACACACACACACTTACTTCCTCGCCCCCTCCTGTCTCTCAGCTCTGTCTCTGACGGTATGGCATCCCTCCAGCCGTCTTTCCGTGTCCATGGTTCTGTCTGTACCTCTCTCACCTCTGCCTCTGAGTCTGGGTGTCTGTTCTCTCCCTGTCTGACGCTCGGAGTCTTCCTCTCGGGGGGAATAGGAGAGCCAAGTGTCTGAGGGTAGAGGAAGGTGGCAAAGCCCCCGAGGGAGGGGCCGCATCACTCTGGGCGCCTCCAGGGCCCGGCACGGAGTGGGGAGGACAGCGGAGTGGAGCGGGCTGATGCTGGTCCCTCTCCCGCAGCTCCTCTGCTGAGAACTTGAGATCTTGGGGGTTTTGGCTCTAGACTCTGAAATGTTGTTCTTCAGTGACAAGGCCCAGGGACTTGTGGCCGGAGTGGGGCTGGGGCTTCAGGGTGACGGGGGAGAGAACCCCTGTCTGGCTGGTTGATCTGATTGACTCTGAGCCGGGGAAGGGTGTCGGGAACTTGGAACCCCAGCAGAAGAGGTGTTGACCTGAGTGGGGCTGAACTGACACTTTTCTTTTTCCTCGAAGCAGCCAAGCTCAACGCACCCACCCCAGGCCCCAGTTTCCTGCTCCAAACCACCGGGCTCCCCACCCTGTTCCAAACATTTCCGCCAACTGCCCCTGGGCCTTGGGGCCTGTTCAAACAGCCCCCTGCCCTCCCCTGGGCCTCCCCATGGCCACGGGCCTGCCTCACTGCCATGGCTTCTCACACAGGAGAGGCTGTGTTGGCTGTTTGTTTGATTAAGGTTTCCTTGGGTGGGGTGGAGATCGCCCCTCGTGATACTTCACCCCACTTCAGATGCCTAGGCAGGAGGCCAGGCCGGACCCCGCCATGCTCCCACTGCCCTCACTGCCCTCCCCAGGGCCCCCGCCTGCCCCTCCTGCATCCCCAAACCCCAGACTCCTCTGCCCTCCTGATCTCAGGTTTGACAATCCCGATCTCTGACGCCAGCTGCTGCACAGGCAGGACAAGGGGATCCGAGACACACCCCTGCACACACAGCCTCGTCCCTGGCCGCGGGGAGGGAAAATGTCCAGGGAGGTGCTGAGAACTGGGACCCTTAGGTTTGCTGGGGGATCCCAAAGAGGAACACATGGGGTGTGGCCTCCAGAATGGGGGAGAAGTCTGCCCACCTCTCACTGGCCGAGGCTTGAACCAGCGATAGAGAGACTTCAGCACAGGAATGATCCCCTCAGGAGTTTGGGGCCCCTCCCAGAATCCATCCCAGAATTGTCTCCCTGGGACCCCAATGGTCTTTCCAGCCCCGGATTTTGTATGGTGCTGTACTTTTACAGAACTCTCTCATCCTGCCCTGTGAGCTCTGGATAGGAAACAAAATCCCCCTTCGGGCGCAGCTTGTGGTTTAACATCGTCAACCTATGAACCAGGAGGTCACGGTTTGATTCCTGGTCAGGGTACCAATTCCCAGTGGGGGGCATGTAGGAGGCAGCCAATCAATGATTCTCTCTCATCATTGATGCTTCTCTCTCTCCCTTCCTCCCTCCCTCTCTGAAATTAATTAAAAAAATATATATATTTTTTAAATCCCCATTCGGGCAGAGTCTGGACTCAAACCCAGGTCTCCTCGCTCCCCACAGCCGGGCCTCCTTTCGGGACAGAGCTAGCTGCTCCTTGGCCACACAGAGCTCCAGGCTGCAACCATTTCTTGGTTCTCCCTGCATCTCCCCCTCACCCATGTCTCCTCCATCTTCATGGGCCTGCAATGGAGATTCCTGTCCCCCCTTGTGTTTCTGGCTGGGAAGGGAGTGTAGGAGCAGGTCCATTCTGTGACCTCGTTCTGGGAGCTGCTGTCCTAGTTAGCAGCTTCCTGAGGGGAGAGGGACACGAGAAGCTTTTAGAGATGGTTTCAACCATTTGGGTGCTAATAAGGAATGAGGCTGTCCCTAGGTTGAGGCTGGGACAGCTATTCCCAGGCTACAGGATGAGATGTGGAGGTGGAGAGGCCAAAGAGGGGATCAGGAAGCTTCCCCAAATAGCCTGGCCAGCAGCCAAATGTGGGAGCCAGGCCCTGGGGGAGGGGAGGGGGGGCAGCTGGCCAGTTGGCATATGGGCCTGGACCTTGGGAAGCTGGGCAAGGGGCAGAAGTGAAGCAGGACTAGTAGTGTCTCCTCTCTTCTCTCCTGCTGACATGAGCTCCCCTGGAACTTGCTGTCATGAGTAAGGGGGAGCGAAAGGTAGACGGATGTGTCTGCACCCGTCCCTTTTCTCTCAGGGGCCTTGTAAGCCCCACCCCATTCTCCTGCACCTCACCCTGATTTATTTATTCATTCAACAAAGATTTATTGAGCACCTACTATGTGTTATATTTGGTAGGCCTTGCCCTGGGAATTCAAGGAGGAATAAGGGTGAATAAGAAAAAATACAAGGAGTCCGGCCGGCATGGCTCAGTGGTTGAGCGCCAACCCATGAAGCAGGTGGTCACAGTTTGATTCCGGGACAGGGCACATGCCTGGGTTGTGGGTTCAATCCCCAGTTGGGGCATGCGGGAGGCAGCCAATCAATGGTTCTCTCTCATCACTGATGTTTCTATCTCTCTCCCCCTTTCCCTTCCTCTCTGAAATCAATAATATATATATATTTATTAATTTTTTTTAAAAAGAAAGAATACAAGGAGACAGGAGGGAAGTCTCCCCAAGGAGGGCAATGAGGGAAGGCCTCTCCCGTGGGCAGTATTTCAGCATCAGCCCTGAGGAGAGAGGAGCCAGGAGGGGAGGCGTGGTCTGGGCAGCACAGTTTCTGAGAACGCTGGGAGGTGAGGGAGCGCTTGCTGTGCTCCCGGAGAGAAAGAGCCCAGTGTGGCTGAGTGTCATAGGCAAGGGAGGGAGTGGCGCAAAAACAGAGCAGGCGCGCGGGATATTCTGACCTGGACGTTTTGACCCCAGGGATGTTTTGAATGCAAACATTTGAAACCAAAACATACCAACACTGGGGACTTTTTTAGAAAGTGTTTTCCTGAGGTGGAGGAGGGTGTAGGGGGGATACATGGTGGTGGAAGGAGCCTGGACTTGGGGTGGTGAACACACAGTGTACAGATGTGTTTTGTAGAGTTGTGCACCTGAACCCTGTATAATTTTGTTAACCAGTGTCACCCCAATAAGTTCAATAAAGAAGGGGGGAGAAAGTGTTTCCCAGTTTCAGCACTATTCATCCAACTTAATTTCTTGATCAGATTTCCCCATTTTTTTCCTATGGGACAGTTAAACAGATTCCCCCCCCCCCCATTCCATTTTAATTTTATGGAAATTATTTCCACCAGCATCAATTCTGTATAAATTTTGCTGCCGAGAGTTGATTCATCAATCAATTTGGCATCAATCGAAGGTTCCTGAGCCTGGTCTCTGTCATGTGCAACTGGCAGACACTCCAGTTTTGTTAATCCTCACCCAGGGATATTTTTCCCATTGATTTTTAGAGAGAGTGGAAGGGAGAGGGAGAGACAGAAGAGAGAAACATCAATGTGAGAGAGACACATCGATTGGCTGCCTGCCGCACATACCCTGAGGGGGGCCAGGGATCGAGCCTGCAACCAAGGTACCTTCCCTCGACCGAAATCGAACCCGAGACCCTTCAGTCCACAGGCCGACACTCTAACCACTGAGCCAAACTGGCTAGTGCTAAAGTTTGCATTTTAAAAAAGATTTGTGGGCAAGGTTGGATTCTTCTGTCCATAACAATTAGTCAATAACAAATTTCCTTGTATCCAGTTCTAACCATTGTCAGTGTGCCTTCTACCAGTAATATCCTTAGGTGGAGAGCTGTATTCATTTCTCAGCGAATCCGGAGAAGGATCTGATAGAAGGGGCCGGTTGGGAGGGAAAGAAGGTTGGGATGGGATTCTCTGAAAGCACAGGAGAAGCCTTCCCAAGGCTTAGGCAGGACAGTGACACCATCAGATTTGCTTTTTGTAAATGTCGGCTCCTCTGGCCCCGTGCAGAGCAGACTGGGAGGGCAGGAAGTGGAGAAGTGGAGGCAGGGAGGCCAGAGAGGAGGCTGTTCTGCCAATGCAGATGGTCAAGAGAAGTGAGTGGACTGAAGAAGTATTAGGGAGGTAGAAGGCCGAGGCGATTCCTGTCCCACTCCCCAGGATCCCAGCACGGCCCTCTTCACAGGCCCAGAGTGACCTCAGTGTCATGCCCCACCCGCAGCTCCTGCCCCTGCCTTCCTCCAAGGCCCAGACACCTCAGACTCTGGCCCCTGGAGTTTGCACAGGGCGGAGACTCAGAACGGGGGTGGGGGTGGGGTGTTTTCCTTGGGGCTCCCTCCCAGCCTGTCTCCTGACTGAATGTGGCCGTGGGTCAGGGATGCCCTGCTGAGGGTGGGGGGGTGGGGGTGGCCCTTGGATCTGCCCACCTGGAGCACGTGGCCGGAGCAGCCAGGGCGGCCGCAGAGCTGGCAGTGAAACACGCCCAGACACAGGGTGCTTGTTCGGCCCCTGGCTCCGAGCTCAGGGTGTGGCCCGGGGCAGGGGCACAAAGAGGCCTCTGTCAACGTGTGCAGGGCACGGAGCCCACCTGGGCCGGCGAGGTGCCTGGGGAGTGAGGGAGATGGGCCTGGGGGTACTTGAGAGAAGGCTTGAGGTGACACAGACCTGAGATTTGGGTGTCGGCTGGGCCAGGTCACTTCCTCTCCTTGACCTTCAGTCTCCTCACCTGTAAATGGAATCTTAATCCCAGCCTCCAGATGCTGGTGGGTCATCAGGACGCCCTGGGTTGACTGACTATAAAGCATCGCCTTCCTAGGATCGTGTATCTGTTAACATTATTTAACAAACACACAGTGATTACCTTGGTAATCTCGGGTTCGATTTCGGTCGAGGGAAGGTACCTTGGTTGCAGGTACCTTGCTCAGCACTTTATAATTATTGACTCATGTAATCCCTGTAACGACCCTCTAAGAGAGGTACCATTTATCCTTATTTTACAGATGGGGAAACTGAGGCACGGAGGTGGCCAAGGTCCCACAGGAAGTGGCAGAGGTAGGATGTGAGCCTGGGGAAGTATGGGTACTCTGTGGTGTTTCAGAAAGGAAGGGGCGGGTGGACCTTAGGCCAGGCACCTGAAGCGGGGCTGGTTCTTTAGCGGGGGCTGGAGGGTACGCTGCAGGCATCTGCCTTGTCTCTCATCCCAGGGCCTGGTCTCTAGGGCAGGGCTAGGAGCCAGTGGGAGGGAGAGGAGTCCGGGGACAGGAGACCCAGGGCCCAGGGCAGGAGAAGGGGGTGGAGCTGGGATCTCAAGGAGCAGGTCACAAGCCTGGCGTCTTTGGTCTTTGGCCCACGAGCAGCTGTGCCCAGGGGAGGCTGGGGCAGATTTGGTATTCCTTCAGCAATGATGAGTCATACCCTTGGGGTGCCAGGCTTTTGTGCCACGTACTTGGAGGAGCCAGCCTGACCCCTGGGAGCCCAGGGTCTGGTCAGACTGGAAACATGGACCTGGGACAGATGGGCAGGGGGCTCAGCCAAGGGGCTGAGGGTGGTGGAAAAAGAGTCCAAGCCCACACATGGGGACCTTCGGAATTCGTGATAAGCCTGGCCCTGGGCGCATACGCAGGACTTGACTGCGGAGAAAGGAGGCAGGGCTTCCCAGCCTGGGGGCTGTGAGGGGGGACAGGGCACTGAAGCAGCAGGTGGCCCTGGTGGGCGTGGCCTGGACCAGGGCTGGGGAGGTGTCTGAGCCGGAATGTGCTGTCCTACTCATGTCCCTAGACCTGTCCACTCTTCAGAATCTCCTGGGAGCTTGTGAAGAAGGTAGACGCTGGGCCTCACCCCACCTCTGAATCCAAACCCCTGGGGTGGGGTCCATCCCAGGATGCCTGACAAGCTCCCCAGGTGAGGCTCACCGGACCCCCCTCTTGGGAGTCCTGCGGGCGTGGGGGCTCTCGCTCTTTGCACATCACCTGGTGGAATTGAAAAGCCTGAGACTAATCCTGCCAGAATCCTCGAGGAGGGGCCCAGGAGATTCCGGAGAGCAGCCATGGTTGAGGACCGTCAGGCAGCCTGTCCTTCCTGTGGCAGGTCTGTGCTGAACTTCCCCCTCCTCAGAGAGGTCTTCCGTGGCCACTCGTCCTCGTTGACCTTGTGTGTTTACCTGCTATCAGTGTGCCCGTCCCCCCTAGATCGCCGGCTCCATGAGGGTCCCTCGTGACCCTTGTTCACTGCTGGGTCCCCTGGCATAGCATGGAGGGCCTGGCACATGGTAGATACCCAACAAATGTTTATTCGGTGAGTTTATCTGTGCCAGCCGCAAGGGGAGACACCCTCCCTCTATTGTCTGTTCATTCTTCTAACAGCCCCGTGAGACAGATGCTCCTGGGCCCGTCTTACGGATCAGAGAGGCGAAGCCCAAGGTCTGACGGCTCCCGAGCCCAGGCTCCATCCTGGGCCCGAGCTGCCTCCCAGCCAAGCCCCTGGAGCAGCCCTGCTGTGGGAGGCCGCTGAGCGGTCTGGAGGCTGGACAGCGGGCCTGCGGGGCCTGGGCCATGTGGAAACAGCCCGTCCTTGGGGTGTTTCTTGGAACCTCGCAGTCGGTTTTGAAAGGCCTCCTTCATGGCCTGCAAGGGCTGTGCCTTCCCCGGCTGGGCCCGTTTGAGGGGCGGACTCCTTGATGTGGTCGCCGTTGCTCCCCGTCCAGCAAGGGGGACTGTGGCCACCCCACCGTCTCCCACAGCCAGTGTGCTTGGAGGCTCTTCCCTCCCTCCTGCCCGAGGCGACCCTGGATTCTCAAGGTCACCCTCAGCCTCCTCCTGCCTCCATCCTTCTGCGGCCAGGGTGGGTTAGGGTCAGTTTCTCACACTGAGGAAGGGGAAAGGACCCCAAGTCCAGCGGGGTGGGTAGGGGTGGGAGGATTCCGCTGGACAAACTAACTTAGTAAAAGCGTCAGGAAATGAAGGGTGGGTCAGAGAGACTCAAAGATCTTAATTTCCACAGGGTTGATCCTGGCTGGTAGTCAGGGCCTCTCCCAGCCTCTTCTGAATGCAGCTCTTTAAGTAAGAAGGGAGGTAGCCAAGGTCACAGTGAGGACCCCCTGGCCCTCAGTCCTCCCCATCCTTCCATGGGGCAGTCCCCTCGGTAATCTGACTACCTTCTAGGCTGCTGCTATGGCATCTAATATTCTGGGGAGGGCGCCACCCTTGCCGTGGACACCCCGGTTGCCAGCCGCGTGTGTCCTAGCTGTCCTACACTACCCAGGGGGCTCTGCCAAGCTGGGTGAGGAGGTTGAAATCATTTCTGTTGCACTGGCAACAAACACACAGATTGGGGATGTGCTGGCAGTGGCGGGGGCAAGATGATGGGCAGGAGAGGGGGTTCAGTCTGGGCATGGGATGGACACCCTGGGTTGGGAAGGGGATCCTTGGTAAGGTTTTGGGGGTTTGCCCCAGGCCCATTTGTCTCCCTTTTCTTTTTGCCCCATTAGTTTCAAAGCACAGCTGAGAGGAAGATCGTCCTGCAGCCTGACCCCAGTCCCTCCTGCTGGAGCTGACAGTGCCATCCCTCACATCACAGTGGCTTTACAGCTTGCAGGGCATTTGCTATACATGTTCTTATTTTTTAAATATGTTTTTATTGATTTCACAGAGGAAGGGAGGAGAGAGAGATAGAAACATCAATGATGAGAGAGAATCATTGATCGGCTGCCTCTGCACACCCCCCACTAGGAAGTGAGTCCACAACCTGGACATGTGCCCCACCTGGGAATTAAACCATGACCTCCTGGTTCATAGGTCGGTGCTCAACCACTGAGCCACACTGGCTGGGCTACATGTTGTCTCATTTACTCTCCTCAGCTGTCAGCCTGGGGTCAGGGGAGCTGTTGTTGTTATCATATCCCCAGTTCACGGACAGGGAACAGGTGTGGAGAAAAGGGGCGTGTTCGCAGTCACAGGTTAGGATGGCACAGTTGTAATGTAAGTGCATGTTTGATGGTTCCGTGTTACTCACGAGGCCCCCAAATTCCTCTCACAGACAGACACACACTCATCCTCTTCCTGGCTCCTCCCGCTCCCAACTCGCTGCAATGCAGAAGCAGCCTGGGCCTGGGGGGCGGAGGTCATCCCCTCCAGCCCCCTGCCTCTACCCCGGGGAGGTGGCGCCCCCTCGTGGCCGATGTCGGGAGCTCATCTGGCTGTGGTCCAGGAGAGGGTGACGGCCGCAAAGTCAGGGGAGTCAAGGGTGTCAGCTGCTGCTGTTTCTTTTTGGGCAAAGACTTTTAAAGTTTAATGTGATAATCTCGTCCTGATTACTGCAAACCGAGGACCTCGGGTCCATCCAAGAATTCATCACCAGCCTCACATGAGGAGCGGGAGACTGTGCTGGGCTCTCCAGCCCCCTCGCTCCCATCCATCCTCACGCATGCTAGGAAGGACTGCCCCTGGGTTTGCTTTTGGTTCGTTGTAGTGGAAAGAAGGTGTTTCTAGATCGGGGCCAAGATGATAAAGTAGGGCCTCCCTGCTTCAAGACCTGACCGGGAGACCCCAACCTTCCCTTTTACATCTGAGACGTTCCTGTTCTAGAAAAGGGCCGCTGAGGAGTCTGGGTGTGAGGCCACTCAGAGGGCGTCAGCATCCACCCAGGCAAGGGGTACAGGAAGTCATCATGCCCCCACCCCATTTGACCAGTGGGAAACCCGGGCCTGTTGCTATTGTCTCCACACCCCGCCCGCCCAAAGTCCACCAATTAGCACCGTGTCTGGTTCTGTGTCCCGAGCGCCTGTCTCATTATTTGGGGATTTATGTCTCGGTCACCATGAAGGACAACTGTGACAGTTTTTCCACTGGGAGGAGCCTGGCCAGCCCCAGGGCTCAGGCCGCAGGAGGTGGTGCCGTGCTGCTTGGGGCAGGATGGGGATTTAATTTCAGGGGGATTTGCAATGGGTGGGGAGCCACCCTGGGCACATGGTGGCTCTGGGCTATTTTAGGAGGCAAACGGCTGGCCCAAGGGGGAGGGAGCGCGGTGGACTTGTTCAAACCATCAGGGATTCTGCCCTTTCAGGGGGAACAGGAAGAACCCACGATGGACAGGGCAGGCCAACCCAAGTCTGGGGCTTCTCCCACCTGCCGGGAACCCAGGGGCTCAGAATTACGATGTCGCTGCACCCCAGTCCAGGCAACGAGAAGAACAGACGCTGCTGGCCGGTCAGGGGTCTACGGCTTCTTGCCTGAGCCCCTTGGCTACAAGGCTTTGCCTCAGCTCAGTCAGCCCTTGGTGTTATTAGTGTGAACGATTAATGAACCATCTCATCTTTGTAGTAGAAATGACACTCAGGAAAGGCACCACAGGGCAGGAAAGAGGGCCGGGTTCAAGCTCACCCGGGTGCTTGTTCTGTACGGGCCACTTCCAAGCTGGTAAAGTGGGTTGCGAAGTCCCTTCATCTCTCTGAGCTTCAGTGTCCGACCCCAAAGCAGAGACACAAACCCTCATTAATGATGCCTGTGTTACCAAGTGGGCACACGTTGTGTCAGGGATGAGCTCACATCACCCTCAGTGATGTTGTGTATTAATTGCCCCATTTTACAGATAAGGAAACTGAAGCTCAGAGAGGGAAAGTAACTTGCCTAAGGTCACACAGCCCATTCCATTTCTCATGCCCACATTCCATTCCTCAGACCCAGCAGTATGTACTGGTTGCCAGGCTGGGTGGGAATTCACCACAGACAAAACAGAGGAAGGGAGATAACAGGATGAGACTGGGCAACTGAGTGGTCTAACTAGAGACTCTGTGACTTTATTGTGACTTTATTTAAAGGGTTACTTCCTGGTCAGGGGGAGGGCAATAACCAGGGGCCTGAATCCCTCCTTGAACAAGTGGTAGGTGTGCCAGGGGGCACCAACACTGCCTGGCTCATCCAGCTCTCATTACTCTGAAGAGGTTTTCTGTTTTCTTCCTCCTCACCCCACCTTTAGAGCAAAATCGTCATCATCATCACCATCATCATCATCATCATCACAGGTCATATTGGGATAAGGTCTTTAGAGGCACCAGG